CTGTGTGTGTGTTTCTGTTGTTAACAAACGTTGTTTGACTACCTTTGGATTAAATTCAAATCAATCCTTCTGCTCACAACGTAAACTCACTCAAGCCACTTTGCCACTCTTATCGTCACCGTTGTGATGTTCTATAAATAACTGTTCTATTTATAAATTTTCCCACGCGTAGATGTCGAGGAACGACTTTAGTTGCAATACATCGTTTGCGATGTCAGACCTTAACTTGGAGGTGCAACCGGGTGAGCTGGTAGCAGTGGTGAGTGTATTTGTATCACAGTGTATGTATTTGCGTACCTATTTGTAATAGTGTGTGGGCTCAAGTACATATTAGTGGTGTATGTGTACGAGTATGTTTTGATATAAATAACATATATATACTTCATTACCACTTGATCCGCTATGTAACAACATATATACATATATATATATATATATAAATATATATACTTCATTATCATTTGATTCACTATACGTATCTATTGTAAGAAGCCGAGACAATCGGTTCACTTGCTTCCTAACGAATCCGTACATTCCCGTTTTGGTGTGCCTGCTCAGGTTGGTGTAGTGGGTAGTGGCAAGTCAATGCTTATGATGGCCATTCTGAGAGAGCTGAACTGTGTGAGTGGGAGGTATGTTCTATATCGCTGTGTAAACGTTCAACGTTCTGTTAAACGTTCGGTGTTGTATAAGAATAGTACTGTGTGGTATGCGATATATTTATTAACATTTGCGTTATATTTGTGTACATTTACTGTGTTTGTATTTGAGTATTAAACTGTTGAGATGTATAGGTATATAGACAATGCTATACGGAGGTGTATAGGTAGGTGAACAAATCTATAAAATTAAAAAATGAGTATTTGGGCATTACTTTTATGGAATATATAGACATACGAATAACCTATTATTGAATACGGGGTAGCAGAACACTACTTCTGAAATATGTAGTTATATGGCTATTATTCTCATGAGGGATTGAATTCTCGTGCCTATCCGTTGACGTGTGTTTGCATGCGTAGTCGTGCTGAGGTGTATTTATAGTCTGTAGTGTGATTGAGTGTCGTAGTTCTGGTATGTACCGCTTTTGTATAGGGCGATACCGCGTACGCACAACAAGCGCCAGGCGCACTGAGTTTTGGGTTTAGGGCACAAGTGATAGGTATTTTTAACAAACCCTAGTAACCCAAAACCCTAAACCCCAATGACACCATGCATCTGACATGTGTGCACAGGTGATATGTATAAAGCAATGACACCATTTAGGGTCTAGGGTTTTACATTCATCTTCGATACCCCAGATCGCGCTCTGCACATATTCGTGATTTCTTCTTGTATTCGACTGGGCCTCATTCCAGTTGAGGTGCACTTGCGGTCCGGTTGTCGTGGTTTTGGGTGTAGGGCTGAGGGGCGATGTGGAATACGCCGCGCAGGAGCGTTTGGTGCTCAGTGGGTTGTAGTACTGTAAAGGGCAATGATCAACCACAATCCATATCCTACACTTAATCCAGTCCTGATTTATGCTTCTACATTTGTTACACACGAACATGATTTCCAAGGTACCTGATTTTCAACGGACCTGGTTTTTAAACGAACCTGATTTGAATTAGGATACACTCACAATTGCAATTGTTCTGTTAACAGTGTGCATGTACAGGGCGATGTCGCCTACGCAGCGCAGGAACCATTTGTACTCAGTGGCACTGTCAAAGATAATATCTTGTTTGGCGCCGAATTCGACGAGGACAAGTACCGAACTGTTCTGGACGCATGCTGTCTGTGGCGCGATCTGGACGAACTAGTCGACCGAGATCGCACTCTGATTGGTAGGTGTGCACCCACTTTTGCTTGTCATGTGTGTATTCACGCATGCATTATAATACTGTATATATATATGTGTGTGTGTGTGTGTGTGTGTGTGTGTGTGTGTGTGTGTGTGTGTGTGTGTGTGTGTGTGTGTGTGTGTGTGTGT